GCCCCGGCCCCTCCTGACTTCAAACCTTCCAGAGTACGCAGCCTGGTCCTCTGGCTTTGCTCTATACCTTCTCCTCAGTCCGCACCTCGTCGGAGTCTGCCATGACCCCCTTCTAGCAAGACGCTGGGGCTTGCGCCACGGGCCCCATGCCCCTCGCGGCCCCAGTCTGGACCAAGGTTAGGTCCTGACGTTGCTAGGCACCATCTCCTGGACGCCCACGAGCTCCGCCCCTTTGGCCACGCCCCTAGATCCCTGGGCCGCTTGAGCCGAAGGAGGTCAGAAAACTTTTATTAGCTGAGGAAGTGGAGGCCTGTAGCCAGGAAAGGACTTGCTGGCTTTCCGTCGCGAGGCAGGGCCACAGTGGGTGCCACAACGAGGCCCCTCCTCCCTACCGAAGCCTCCGAGAATCCCAAACAAACCCCACAGGGACACAGTGACGCTGCTCCGTGGAATGCGCGGGAGCCCTCCAACACAGCCACCACCTCGCTGCTTCCGGCCTTTAGAAGCACAGCGGCTGCATAGCCCGGCCCGGATTGGACGGTGGAGGCTGTCTCCGGACAGTTAGCGACGCGATTGGTCGTGAGCTGGATGACGTCAGGGGCGGGGTCCGGGCCGAGAATGGGGGCAGCATGTCGCGGCTCGGCCTCCTGTGCTTGGGGCTGTGGAGGAGTCCGGCTATGAGCTGGTTGGTTTTGGAGCCTCGACCCCCGGGGAAGCGTTGGCTGGTGAGTGCAATGGGGTGATGACATAGAGGCTTCCGGGCCTTAGCTCCAGTCTTGCCATTGTATCCCGGCCAAAGTCCCCCAAATTCCTCCTGTTAGTTTTCTTATCTAAAAAATGGGTCCAACTCTAGACCTGCTCGAAACTTAAGGAACTTCGCTGCTGCACCATCCCTGCCCACCCAGCCTTCTGGAGTCTTCGGGGGTTTCTGGGCACCTTCTTCGTCCCCCTTAACCCATCCTAGCCCTGTTCTGCCTTTTCCCTCCTTTGAGTCCCAGGGGACGTTGTAAGATCCCGGTGGCGAGAGTTGTCGGGCGTCAGTTTCCCTGCTTCCGCCCTCAGGTGGCTGGTCTGGGGAACCCTGGACTGCCTAGCACTCGGCACAGCGTGGGCATGGCGGTGCTAGGGCAGCTGGCGCGGCGGCTAGGTGTGGCGGAGAGTTGGGCACGCGATCGGCGCTGCGCCGCCGACCTAGCTCTTGCCCCGCTCGGGGATGTCCAGCTGGTCCTGCTCCGGCCACGGCGGCTCATGAACGCCAACGGGCGCAGCGTGGCCCGGGCTGGTGAGTTGAGGATGCCAGGGGCGGGCTGGCCGGAAGGGTGCGGGTACCAGAGATGGGGACTCTGGTTGTGACAGATCCACTCGTTCACCTACAAGGGTCTGTTGAGCTCCACTTGCTTTATGGCCTTGGGTGCTTATTGGTGCTTCAGTTTCTTTATATGCGAAGCAGGGTTAATTGTGGCCCCTCCTATGGGAGTTGGGACAGTGCCCCTCTGGGCAGAGCAGCAGTAACCAGAGCCACCTTTCCCTGTGCCAAGCGGAGTTGTTTGGGCTGACTGCAGAAGAGGTCTACCTGGTGCATGATGAGCTGGACAAGCCCTTGGGGAAACTGGCTCTGAAGCTAGGGGGCAGCGCCAGGTGAGGCCTTGAGCTGGTTGGGGGAGGGTGGGGATGCTGGCCTCCCAGCTGACCCAGTCTGTGCAGGGGATGGGCTGTTCTGACACCAGCCTGGGCAGGGAGGAGTGGAAAGGTGCTGATTCAGGAAGGCACTAACTGTCCTTCCCATATCCCTTAAAGGGGCCACAATGGAGTCCGTTCCTGCATTAGCTGCCTCAACTCCAGTGTGAGTCTGTACCCTTGTCCTGCACTGGGTTGGGTGGGTCAGCATGGGTCCCCAACACACCTCACCAAAACTCCCTGGGCTCCTCTGGCTCCCCCACAGGCAATGCCAAGGCTTCGGGTGGGCATTGGGCGCCCGACGAACCCTGAGGCGGTACAGGCACATGTGCTAGGCTGTTTCTCCCCTGAGGAGCAGGAGCTGCTGCCTTTGTTGCTGGATCGAGCCACCGACCTGCTCCTGGACCACATCCGTGAGCGAAGCCAGGCGGCCCCAGCGGGTGTCAGCCCCTGATACCAGTGTCCATTGCTGCCTGCCTGACTACAGTGCCCCAAACCTAGCCACGGCCATAGAGCTGACACACCAACCTTGGAATCCACTGTTTATACACTGTTCTCTGGGCTGCTCTGGAGGACCCACAGATTAAAGGCAGGGGACTGTGGCTAGAACGGTCCGTTTCTGGAGTATGGGGTTGGTCTTCTTTCTGTGTCCTACTTGGGGCGTAGGAGAACATCAGGAAGACTAAACTTTTTGAGCCTTTTTGGAGAACTGGAGGCATGGATCTGTAAGATTAAAGATGCCATATTGGAAGCTGAGACCTATTCAGGAAGATCCCACCCTTTCCCTGTCAGTGGCAGAAGGGACGACAGTCTCCCTCCCATGTGATGTGTGGGCATGCCTAGTCCACTGGGGCCTGGCCACATCTTCCACTTGTTTTACAGGTGGGGAGGCTTAGAGAGCTCTGGCCACATCCCCAAGGCCACACAGCTATGGCCTGGCAAAGCCCCACTTTGCATCCAGGGCTGCTGCCCACCTTGCTGTCCCTGGGGTCCCTTAGCACCCTCACCTCAGGGTTGCTGTATGATTGGAAGGTCTTCATGCGGGTGACATGTGAGAGTAGTCTGAGGTCCTGGGGGTTAGGCGGGATGTGGCCCAGACGAGGCACCAGGCCTAGATCCCCCAGCTGGGAGGTGGTGATGGCAGATAGCTGCTGCAGCAGAGACCCAGCCTTGGGCAGCTGGATGTTGGACTGGCTGTTGGGGGTGGGGGGAATCACTTCCATTTTACAGATGAGGAGGCTGAGGTTCAAAGAAACTTGGGAGAGCCAGATTTCTAGTCCAGGGTGAGCTGAGCAAAGCCCCTTGGTGGGCCCCATGGCTACGTCCTTTTGCCCTGCTCCTTATGGCTACCTCCTCTGAGTCCATGCAAGGCCACCCACTCACCTCTCCTTGGGTGGGCCATGGAGGTGGGACTCCTGGTGGGGACACACAGACATTGGGCGTCTCAGGGCCAAGGCTGAGCTGAGCATGGCCAGGAGTTGCTGCAACATATCTTTGCAGTGCAGCTGGAACATCACATCGAAGTTGCCGTCCTCTTCTTCTGCATGCAACTGCTGCAGGGGGCAGGCGGATCAGGCCTACAAGGGCCCTACTACCCACCCTCCCCTAGGAAACTCCAGCCCCAGACCCCTTTTCCCCCAAGGTACCCTGGCTGTGGTGGGATACCCATTTTCCAATTGGGAAGACTGAGGTTCAAGGCCTTTTAGAGCCTCTGAGAAGGAATCTAGCTCCTTTGAGACCTTGGAGGCATCTTTGAAGACCAGAACCAGAAAAGAACAGACTTGCCAGGAGTATCTCAGGAGCAAGAGGGACCTTTGAGCTGGCTGTGGCCAGCCTCTTCCAGGTAACCCTGTTCTCTGCAGGTAGCTAGCTTCTTTCCTGAACGTGCTTCCCTCTTACCTGCAGAATGTCCTTTAGGAAGGAGGTGGCCTGACTCAGGGACACCTCCAGGCTGGCCCGAGCCCTCTGTTCTTTGGCCAGCTCCTGCTGCAGCCGCTGCACCTCAGCCTCCTGCTGCTCCAGCTGCAGGCTCAGCTGGTCTCTCTGGCTCCTGGGCCCAGACTAGGGATGAGTGAACAGCTTTCCCTTCCCTGGGCTGTGGCTGGTGCCACCTGGGGCCGTGGGCCCTGCCATTTCTCTCTAGCCCACAGGGTTCCCATCTAGCCTCAGGCCTCAGCCTATCTGACAGGCCCCTCTAGATAGGAGAAGTCACAGGCCCAGGGTTCTGCGGCCAAAAGGGATGGGCTCAAGGTAGGCCTCCACCTATTCACCCTGCCCCCATCATCCTAGGCACACCTCAGGGCCTCGCTGTCGGTCTGCAGCTGTTGGAACCTCTGCTCTTGGTGGCTCAGCAGCAGTTGCAGCTGCTTGGCCTCTGCGATGCTATGCTGCTGCTCCTGGCACTTCTCCGTCAGCATGAGGATGATCTGTGGATGCATGTGGGTAGCCATGTCCAAGCCCAGTGCAGGCCCTCCCTAGTCCCATGTCCCAGCTCCGCCAGCTCCCTAGGGCTGAGCTCCACTTTAAAGCAGATAAAGATAATTCAGAGCTGGGCCCAGAAGCCTGAAGGCCCCAGGAGGAGGCCCATCCCTTTCTACAGCTTCTACTCCTACAGGGTGCCCAGGGTTCCCTCCTGCCATCTGTGAATGACAGCTCACAGACTCACCTTCTGGTGGCCTCTTTTGTGCCTGGCCATGACTTTCTGCGTGCTCTCCAGCACCTTCAGTTGTTTGTACAGCTCATCCTGGTTGCCCTTGAGCTGTTCATTCTCCTGCAGCAGCTGCACACCTTGCCGGGATGTCTTGGCCAGCTGCAAGGTCACGCTGCTATTCTCCTGGATGGCCCGCTTCGTTGTCTCCCACATCTGGTTAGTGGCCACCTTGCGGAATTCGGTGGCCACTAGGTTCACACGCTGAATGATCTCTTTCCTGAGTCTGGTTAGGAAAATGGAAGGACAAGGAGGTCAGGCAGGATGGGCACAAGCCCTGGGCATACACTCTGTAGAGTCCCCAGAATACTTAGGGCCTTTAAAAACCTCTGTGTTCTCACCTCCAAAGGTAGGGAGGAAGCTATGGGCAGGAAGTTTTTCCCTGTAGACCCCCTGTACCTTTGGAATTTGAACCATTTCAATATATTACCTATTAAATAAATAGAATTTAAATCACCAAATCAAAAGGAAATAAGTGCAAAAGTCTCCAGTGCCAGGGCAAGGACTTGAGGCTGGGGCCTTACTCATTCTCTGCCCCCCCCACAGAGATCACCCGCCAGGATTCCTAAGACAGTAAGGTTAGAGAGTCAGTGACCCCCTCGAGTCTCCCCAGTTAGAAACTGAGGGAGGCTGAGACCTAAAGACTGGGATGTATATGGCCCCAGCAATGAGTCTCCAAAGGCCACAGAGGGTGCACCCCACCTGCCCACCTGTCCTTGTCCAGCATTGATTTCTTCTCCAGGTTGTACACGTAGTCCTTGTATTCTATCTCCTGCTGCCGCAGCTGGTCCTCCAGCAGCTCAAACTTCTCTGTGAGTTCCTCTTTCTGCAGCCTGAATTCCTCCAGGGCCGCAAGCTTTCCCGCTGGCCCCCACAGGGCACAAGGCCTGATGAGGGGCTGCCTCTGATGGCAGGGCTCGGCAGGGGCAGCAAGGCCCCCAGGTCCCTGTCCTTCCTGCCCCCCCCCCATCATGCTTCCTGATCTCATGAGGCTGCCTGCCCATGCCATGCCCAGTCCTAGGCACCTTTATTGTCTTCATCTAGGGTATCCTTTGTCCTCCCCTCCATAAATCTTATGAAGCCTTGTTCAGGCTACATTTCCTTCAAGAAGCTCCCCTTGATACTCCCCTCTCATGAAAGGAATAGTGAAAACAGCACCTGAATTTGTACACTTCCTCTGTGAGTGCCTCTGGGCCTGGCACTAATGCTATCATTTGAGTCCCAACAATCCTTGCCAGCTGGTTGACCTTGGGCAAGACACTTTACCTTTTTGAGGAGCTTCCTCATCTACAACTGGGACCGTGGTAATTTTTCCTGCCTTATCAAATCACTGGGATGATTAAGGAAGATAATACGCACCAAGAGACATATAGCTGTGGCTATTCAAGGTAGCCACCTTATCTCTGTTCCACAGGTCAGAAAACTGTGGGTCAGAGGGACATAGTTGCCTAAGGTCACATATACCATCAGTAGTAGAGCTGGGATTTGAACCCTGAATCCTGTGCCCAAGTGGTGTGTGCCCATAGGCTTGCAGGCCAGTCCCCTCCTCACCAAGGACGATGTTCTCCGTGGTGAGCTGGTCCTTGGTCTCCTGGAACTCATGGCGCACCTGGGCTAGCTGTGCCTCGAAGGCATCTTTCTCCAGCTCCTTGGCCAGCTGAAGGCTCTGGAGCTGTTCGTTGAGGTCTGCAATTTCATCCACCCGCTGATTGAGCGTGCGCTTGAGGAAGGCCACGATCTCCTTCTTGTTATTGGCCAGCTGGTCATACTCCTGGCGGAATAACTTCTCCTGCACAGCAAGCTCATCCCACTTCCGCTGGTACCTGGGGCAGGGGTAGGCAGCAGTCCCAGGCTCAAGCTAGGCAAGCACAGCCTCTGATACAGCTTGGCCCACTTTCCCAGCCCCTACTCTCATAAAGGACCATATAGAGTTCTTCATGGTCTGAATCCAGCCTCATCTCCTACTGTGCCCCATGATTGGTAGTTACAAGCACAGCCCACACTTGTGCTCAGCTTTTTATGTTTATTACATCACTAGAATGTAAACTCCCTGAGGACAGAGCCTTTATGTTCACAGATATGAGTCCAGCACCTATGCCTGGTACCTAGCAGGTGTGCAATGTATATTTGCTGAATCTTCACAATAGCCTGTAAGGATGTAGGTGCTGTGATGATTATCCCCCTTTACAGATGAAGCAACAGGCTTGGGGGATAAAGAAATTCTTAGTTAGTAAATGGCAAAGATTGGACCTGAATCAGTCTGACCCCAAAACCAAGGCTCTTAGCCACAATCCCTACTGCTACCGTTGGCCAGCTTTGCACCCCTCCCTAACACTTCCACGCTTCCGAATCCTAAGCCTCTGTGCCTGCTATCTCCCTTCCCCTTGTCCACTTAGTGACCCTGGTGTTGCCATGTCAGTGTACCCTTCTTGGCCTTGAGCCACATTTGCAGCCCTCTCCTAGGTGCCCTCCTATAGGATGGTCCTTGTCCCACTATGAAGTAGAGACGTCATAGAATGCCCTTATCCTCCAACTCTGTATTCCCAGGGCCTGGCAGAAGGCTTGGCAAATAGTATGTACCCAATAAGTGTCCACTAAATGCTTTTTTCCTGAATACAGACCATCTGATGTCTGTGAATTTTAAGGCAATTTAGTTTTTTTCTTTTTTTGAGACAGAGTCTCAAGCTGTCACCCTGGGCAGAGTGCTGAGGTGTCACAGCTCATAGCAACCTCCAACTCTTGGGCTTAAGTAATTCTCTTGCCTCAACCTCCCAAGTAGCTGGGAATACAGGCGCCCGCCATAATGCCCAGCTATTTTTTTTGTTGTTGCAGTTGTCGTTGTTTAGCTGGCCCGGGCTAGGTTTGAACCCTTCAGCTTCGGTATATGTGGCCGGCGCCCTACCGACTGAGCTACAGGTGCCACCATTTTCTTCAACCAACTCCTTTTTTTTTTGAGACAGGACTCTCAAGCTGTCCCCTGGGTAGAGTGCCGTGGCATCTCAGCTCATAGCAACCTCCAACTCCTGGGCTCAAGCGAGTCTCCTGCCTCTGCCTCCCAAGTAGCTGGGACCACACAGGCGCCCGCCACAACGCCCGGCTATTTTTTGGTTACAGCCGTCATTGTTGTTTGGTGGGCCCGGGCTGGATTCGAACCCGCCACCTTGGGTGTATGTGGCTGGCGCCTTAGCCACTTGAGTCACAGGCGCCGAGCCAACCAACTCCTTTTGAATGACTACTGCATTACACACAGGACACTTCAGGAACCTGGAGCTGAATGACCTGCTTTGTGGATCCCCAGCTGTTTGTAAGGAAGCAGCCTGACAGGGAAGTCGGGGAGGCCAGGGCTCCCTTCCTGGTACCTCTTCTTTCTGGGGGTGGCTTCCCCTCTCTGAGCCTCAGTACCCCCATCTATGTGATGAGGATGATATTAGGATCTCTCATGGGATTGTCATGGGGATGCAGTGAACATAGTACAAGGCCTGCCTGGTGCACTTGAAGGACTCAATATTTGCTGCTGGTGCCTCACAGCTGGGAGGAAACTGTTGTATATTTTTAGAGAGAGGGTCTCACTCTGCCACCCAGGCTAGCGTGCAATGGCTTCATCATAACTCACTGCAACCTCAAACTGCTAGACTCAAGGGATCCTCCTGCCTAAGTCCCCCTATTAGCTGGGACTATACCTGTACAGCACTATCCCTGGCTAATTCTTTTTTTTTTTTTTTTGAGACAGAGTCTCTCTATGTCACCCTTGGTAGAATGCCGTGATGTCATAGCTCACAGCCACCTCAAACTCTTGGGCACAAGTGATTCTCTTGCCTCTGAAGTAGCTGGACTACAGGTGCCCGGCCCAACGCCTGGCTATTTTTTTTGCAGTTTTTGGCCGGAGCTGGGTTTGAACCCGCCACCTCCAGCATATGGGGCTGGTGCCCTACTCCTTTGAGCCATAGGCTATTTTTTTTGAGATGAGGTCTCACTCTGTCTCAGGATGGGCTTGAACCCGTGAGCTCAGGCAATCTACCCACCTTGGCCTCCCAAGTGCTAGAATTATGGCTGTGAGTTACCACGCCCAGCCCTGGCTAATTTTTTTTTTTTTTTGGTAGAAATGGAGGTCTTGCTAAGTTGCTCAGGCTGGTCAAGAACTCTTGGCTTCAAGCAATCTTCCTACCTTGGCTACCCCAAATGCTAGGATTATAGGCATGAGCAACCAAGCATGGCCTGAAACTGGTTTTAAAATGAGAAAAATGATAGGCAAGTGAATATGTCTCTAAATGAAGAGTAAGAGGATCACTCCACCACTATCTATGTCACACACAAAATAGGCCCTAAGATAGAATGTCACAATTGTGGAGGGGGAGATCAACCTTCCTCATTTACATCTCGGAACCTGAAGCCCAGCTCAGAGAAACAACTGGGCTTGGCAACTGGGTAAGTCAGTGGGACACAGGCATCACTTCCAGAGGGCAGAGAGGACCATGTGGTCCACCTGCCTCCCATGGGCCACCATTTCCAATTCATACCACTGATTAAACTCCACTTTTGTAAAGAATTTGATCCACAGGGCATGAGTAGGGCAGGTGAGAAGTGGGGCTTGCGAGGAGTGGGCCTAAGGCTATGGGTGCTAAGAAAGGCAGGGAAATCCATTTACCCCCCACATCTTGAAATCTCCCAGTGGCACCTAATGCGGAAACTGAGTCTGGGGTGAGGATGAGAGCTGGACATCCCCAGGAAGGGCAGAACACAGGTCTAGGGCTCCTGGCTGAGCCTGCATGGTAGCCCCCTGCGAGTGGGACCTCTGACCCAGTGAGTGCACCAGCCTCAGGGTCAATGAGCCACCCACCGGACCAGCCGGTCTTCCAGGTCTCGGATCTGGATGTGGTAGAACTCCTTGGTCTCCTCAGGCAACGGTGTCTCCACAGGCTTCACGGTCACAAGCTCCTTCTTGCCCCCTTTCTTCCTCTTGGCCTCAGGCTCCTTGACTGCCTTCTTTTTAGGAGCCATGGCTGAGGGCAGCCACAGCTCCAAGGCCCCTTTAAGAGTCTGGTGGTTGCTAAGGAAGTTGGTCCCATACATAACAACAGACTGAGCAAGCGAGGTTGGGCTTAAAGGGGCCCTGCCTTTTTCCTGCTGGTGCCCCCCTCTAAGGCAGTCAGCACCATGGGAGGCCCCGGTGGCATTTCAGACCAGGATGCCAGGCTCTCAGGGCATTCTTATGTGTGGAAATAAGTGACATGAGAAACCTGAGAGTGGGTGGGGTCCTAGGAATCACCATCCTGTCCCTTTGGGCTGACCAAGAGGTACAGGCCCAGAGAGGAGAGGGCCTCCCCAGGACCAGAAGAAGCCAGTCACCTGACCCCCCACCCAGGGATTATCTTCTCTGAGGCCTCTGAGATCCTCTTTTAATTCTTTGGTAATTCAGCCACACAGCAAAATCATTATATCTGCTTTGCCCAAACTGGGTAGGATAGCATGGGAAGAAATGGATGTTTTATCTTGGAGGTTCCCAAGCTGGGGTCCAAGAATGTCCTTGTCCAGAGGCTGGTTTGGTTGTCTACAAAGCTGAATGGGAATGGTCCATCCACCTGAGCTGTCCCTAGGCACATTCAGGCCCATACTGGAGCTTTGGCCTGGGTGGCAGCACCCTGGGGCTCCACAGCAGGTGTCTTGGTGACACCTGTGTGCCACCCAGGCCCTATCCCTGGCTCTGGTCTCAGCCAGTTATGGCTCTTGGGCTGCTCTGTCCTCACGAGCCCAGGTACTCCTTGGGACACAGCCTGAGTCCTGGTCCTTTTTGTCTCTGTGGTTCCAGGGCTTGGCACTTAGCAGATACGGCTATAGCTATAGTACCACCCTGAAAGATTGATCAATAGATTAGGGGAAGCTCAGTAGCACCGCAGCAAATGTGGCTTATTCTGAGCAGCTAGATTTTTGTAGGCTGTGTGGGGTAGAGGTGGTGAGGAGAAGACTTCGGAGCAGGGGAAGGGGTTGGAGCCATGGGAAGGTAGGGGTTTACTGCTGGCAATGAGCCAGGTTGGAGAGGTGATTGGTGAGTTTTGGGCTCAGTCTGATATACAATGGGACCTTGGGCTAGTGGTCTGGACTCTCTGATCAATGAAAGAGCAGGGAGACCTGCCCTGGACAGAGCGAGACCTCATATGAAGAGCACACAGTGGAGGGATGTGGCCTGAGATGTAGGGAAGCATTTGGGACGTGGCAGCCAATGCTAACATGAGCAAAGCAAGTCCGAGACTCTAGCCTGCTCTGTGCAGTGGTAGCTTCTGGGATGTCCAACTTCCGTGTACCCCCAGCCCGTGGCAGTCCATCTTTCCCAGGGTGTCTATTCCCTACAGGCTGGGGTGGCTCTTGGAGGGGAGAAATGTGACTGGCAGAGGCAAGAGGCCCCCATGACTATGAACCAGTTTCAGCCTTTGCACACTCATGAGGTCAGTGAGCTCTGCCTGCCTAGGACTGCAGACAGCAGAGATAGTGAGGCCCCAGGGGAGAGGCCTGGCCTGTCCCCTTTCAGCCCATAGCAAGCCCACTACCCCTACAGGATATTGTCCCTTCCCCTACTGGAACAGCTGTCTTAGAGGGGTTCAGCCCAGGCAAAGGTCCCCATGGTGTGACCGGCTGTCCTGATGCCTCCTCTGGCCTACCCCTTTCTACCCTCTTGTCTTTGGGGTCCATCTCCGGGGGTAGCTCCAAATTCTCAGCTATATGCCTGGAGCCCATAGAGCAATGCTTTTTTCAACATTTTTTTTTTTTTAATCTCACCACACACTTGAGCCTATAATTAACCTTCTGTGGCTCACTTAAATTATGACGATCAGAAAAAGAGTAAAAAAAAAAAAAAGATTACACTTACTGTGCTTTGAACTTCTTTACAAAATAATTTAATTAATGATCTTTAAAAATTTTTGCGGCACACATAAGAACTTAACCACACACCAGTTGAAAATCACTGCCATAGAGGGTGTCAGCTTTGAGACTGTGTTCCTTTCCTTTGTTAACCCCAGGATGGCTGCAGTCATGTGGCAAGAGTGACCACCTGGGGAGAGGGAGGGCGACATTGCAGGTTGGAGGACAGTGTTTCTGGGGTTTGCTTGGAGATCTTCCCAAAGCTATTCTGGGGCTATAGGCCACCACCTGCCCCAGGACACCTTCTCACTACTGCTTATTTATCCGTCTGTGTGTTCTCCTTTGGGCCCTGACACTGACGGGCCCAGAGCTGCTGAGCTGCCAGACCACAAATCACATCCCCTCTCACAGCTGGGTCTTCTGAGAGGAGTTAGCATCAGCCCAGAATGGAGGCTGGCAGGCTGGGTCACTGCTACTGCTGGGAGGCTGTGACAGGAAGGACACCTAGGCCCTGGGGAGGTTGGGAGGCCGGGCACCATTAAACCATGCCCTGATGCTTTGCCTACCTCTTATGGAGCATATGACATGGTGACATGACAGGGATTCATTCAGGCTGTGTGTGTGTGCATATGTGTGCAATGTAATACTACCCCCACTATTGTGGGGACCCTATCTCATTCCTGGCTGTTTCCCCAGAGCCTAGGATGAAGGCTGACACAGAACAGGGCTCAGGAAACATCTGTAGTCTGAATGCAACAGTGTGGAGCAGGGACTCTGGAATGGCAGAGTACAAAACTACACTTTAACTGGTCAAGGTTTTTTTTTTTTTTTTTTTTT